AACTCAGACAAGGAAGAAAAAATGCCATCACTTATACATGCAAATATTCCTGGCACCTGTACCTACGGCAAATCAGCCAAGCCTATCCTTTTCTTATCCGTATTTCAATGTTCAACAAGAAACTTCATGATGATAAGTTCCCCTTAAATTAGTGTCCAGGGAGAAAAGAAGTTGTTCCACCAATATCAAAGCTGCACAAAAGTTTGTTCTCATTATAAACAAGCAATTTGACTTTCTAATTTTACACAGCAGGCTCCACCAGCTTAGTTAATTTGAGCTTTTTCGTTTAGATGTGAGAACAAAATCAGAAATGTCTGGCCCTGGAAATTGATGGTCAGATCCCTGGTGCTGAGTTCATACAGTAGTCCTCTGTGCACAGGTGTTATCGTGCCTACAATTTATTTTTTAAATTTTCAGTGCTTATAATATTGTGCCCCTGTGTGTTAAGTTAATGGGGATTGTGCAGCCCTGGGGCAGGCAGCGAGCATTACATCAGATGGTCCCTGATCTCAAGCCTCTTTGTGTTATCGACACTTCCATCAGCAGCCTCGGATGCCAGAGATGGGTTTCTACAGAAAATTAATGATGTATTGTCAGCATGATTGATACCAGAAATGGGCTTTTGTTGGTGAAATTAAAAGTATTCAAGTATGTAGAATGGCTAGAAATTATGCAGTAGTAGTCCCTGACCTTGTATGAACAGGGTATAAAAAAATCCAGAAATGCCAGCCTTACTGCAGACAATCCTTCATGAATTGCTGGGAGATGATTTGGAAGGCAAACTGTTCCATGCTTTCTGAAGGAAACAGATGTTTGACTTCAGCTTGGATGTGTGCTCTTTTGTAGTGGATAATTTCGTGGCTCTCTACTCTGCCTGAGGCTTTGCCACCCAGTTGCTGCTCCACAGGGACTTAGTCTCAACAAAGCAGCTGAGGACCACAAGCCTTCTGAGCCAGAACAAGGGCAGCTTCACCGGGCAGCAAGAGGAGCCAGCCTTGGCCATCAGACAATGTCCTTGGCTGCCAGTCTTTGCTGGCTGAGAGCCCTAACTTCAGCATGACAGATGGCAGCAGGATGGTGAAGCCACTGGAACCATCACTAGAGGACTAAAGGACATCGCCCAGACTCTGGGGCAGAAAATTAATACGTATATATATTTGGTAATCGTGGAGATTGATCCCAGAACCTTAGGCATGCTAGGCACACACTCTACCATCCCTAGAAGAAGGGAAATGTGGTGGGCAAAAACTCCTAGAGTTTCAGATGCAGGAGGAGAAACACCATTCCTAGTTGATTAGAAAATGTAGTCGATAAGGTGCATTTCCTGCATCTGCCAACTGACCCAGGATACCCTCCTGCTTCCCACCATCACTTCCAGTTGCTCTTTGATTGTGGAACACTCAACTCGCCTGATGCACCAGGAGGTCAGCCTTTTAACTCTTTCAGAATCAGGTGGGAAGTGAGTAATGTAAGGCACTGGGGGGGTCATGATTTCACTGGGGCTTTTTCCTTTTGAAGTTGACTGACTTCCTCTGTTAAGTTCCAACAAACTGCCAATAGATTTCTGAACTTTATACATGGACTTTCTAGCTATATTCATTCATAGCCTGTCTTACCGATGAAGCAAAGCTTTAGTATGACTCAAAAATCTTTCACTCTTTTTCATGTGAGCCATCAGAATCAGTTACAAATCTCAATCCAGAAAATTTGGACCATAAGAGAGAGCACGCAGGGCCAGGGATGTAGCTCAGCAGCTCAGGATGTGCCTGCCTGGAAAGTGCAAGGTGCTGAGGTCCTGGTATCAGAAAAAAAGAAAAAAAGAGAGAGAGAGAGAGAGAGAGAGAGAGAGAGAGAGAGAGATACAAATTCAAACCCTGGCAGAGCCCTGTCTGTGAAATACTGCAGTCCATTTTTGGCTGTAGTTTAGCTATCCATGTCCTTAAAACAATTCTTGATTTTACTTAAGTTGTGATGAATGTTTATAGTCTGTAGGAAGAGCCCCTCTCTCATTTCTGGTATTAGTCACTGGAGCGCTCTCTTTTTCTTGTTCAGTCTAGTCAGAGATTTCTCAATTTCATTGAACCTTCAAATTTTGCTTTGTTTTTGCTACTTTTGCCAGTTGTTAAAAATTTCATTGACTTTTACTCATCTTTTTTTCTACCTCCTACTTAATTTTTGAGTGTGTTTTAACCTTCACTTTAAAATTATTGAGGTGGAGGGCCAGGGATTTAGCTCAGTGGTGTCGCCACCTGCTTTGCAAGCTCAAGGGCCGGAGTGCCCCCCCAAAAAAAAGTTGTTTGGGGCTAGGGATTTAGCTCAGTGGTTCTGCTGCCTACCTCATAAGCACAAGGTCCCTAGTTCAATCCCAGGTACTGAAGAAAACTTTTTTTATTGAAGTATAATGCTCAGAAGTTGATTTTAGAACTTCTAATATAAGCATTTAAATTTCCCCCTTGCACTGTTTAACTGAATTTCACATGTGATATTTTTTATTTTCATTATTACTTGTTTGGAAATATTGTCTAACTTTTTTAACAATTTCTTTTAACCTAGGGGTTATTTATAAGTGTCTTGTTCAATTTCCAAATATTTCGATATTTTAAAATTTTAATTTTACTCTATTGTAATCATAAGTAAACACACTCCTTGTAAACCTATTGGGACTTATTCTGTAGTTAGTCCACCATATGGTCAATCTGTCTTGGTAATAATTCCTGAGGATTTGAAGAGTATGTATTCTGCCACTGATGGGTGTAGTGTCCCATCACTGCCAGTTAGGGGGTGTTGGTAGACAGTGTTTTTCAAATCTATTCCTTACTGTTTTGTCTATCTCTTTTTAGGTTATTAAGAGAAGAGTATTAAGATCTTTATGACTGTGGATTTATCTACTTCTCCCTGCAGTCCCCTCCATTTCTGCATATTCTGAAGCTCGCCGTGAACTGCACACACATTTAGGTTTGCTGAGTTCATTGTGTGTAGGTACACACAGCCCTGTCATCAGGAAGTGACCCTTTCTTATCCCTTTATGCTTGGTAATGGTTTTTGTCCTCAAGTCCACTTCCATATAGCTTTCTTTTGGTTAATATTTGCATGGTAAATTTTATTTCAATCTTTTATTTTTAAACTCTGTCTTTGTACTTAGAGTGTTTCTTTTAGACAATATGTATGAGTCTTCTTTTTCCAGTCTGCTAATCTCTGCTTTTATTTGCTGCATTTAGTCCATTTATATTTAATGCAGTTGTTTATAGAGTTGAATCTCTGCTCTAGAGCCTCTTCGTTTTTTTTTCCATTTCTATCTTTAAATTGTTTTCATAGTGGTTGCTCTAGGATTTACAATGTACATATTTATATATCACCTTCTGACTTCAAAAGTACTCACATTACCTGCTTTTCAGCAGTTTGATCAAGATTCAGTGTGGTGCTTTCCCCTACACCACCACCACCTCTGGTACTAGGATCAAATCCAGAGTCACTCTATCACAGAGCTACATCTCTAGCACTTTTTTACTCTGTTATTATTATTTTTTTAAATTTTGAAACTGGTTCTAAATCGGTGAGGCAGGACTTTAACATGCAGCCCCCCTGCCATAGCCTCCCTAAATGCTGGGATTATATAGGTGTGAACTATCACACCAGGTGGTATGGAACCCTTGTTTTTCCCCCGTTTGGGGTTTTTTCGTTCAATGCATTTCTTGGTAAATATATATTTTAAAAAATCAAACCCAGGGTTTCATCCATTATTTATTCAAATAACTTTTCTGTACTTTCTCCTTTGGTATTCAAATGACATGTGTGGCACATTGCTTGGTATCGCCCTGCACTCACGTGGCTCCTTTTCTTTCTGAGCTGTCCTTGGACTTTCTGTTTTGTTCCTATACCTTTGAGTTCACTGATCTTTCCTTCTGTAGTGTTCCTGCTAAGCCCATCCATCAAATGGTGCATTTCAGATTTTTAAGAGAAGATACTTTCATTTTTTTTTTGCTTTGTAATCAGTATATTAAGGAGACATTCATACATTTCAACAGTTGCTTAAATTCTGATATCCAGATTTAAGCATGTGAACATGACTTAAACACACAAGTAAAGCTATTCATCAGATTTGCTGTACTATTACCATAAAATTACAGTTACTTTGGAGCATAAGTCAAATGGGTTAAAATAAGCCTGTAACACACCTAAGGAACACCCTATATTAAACATGCAAATTAGCTTTCCATGTAGTCTCTTCACTTAAATTTCAAAGTTACCCAGCTTTGAAGTCAGTACTCAAGGGCTTATCATGGTCCAAAGAGAAGGGAAAAAGAATATAACCAGGACTGGCCAACATAGTTATATATATATTTTAAAAAGATGGCACAGCAGAAGGGAATGCAATCCTAGAAATGCAAGCCCTTAAGAAGCAGCATTATGATAAACCCCTTCTTTAGAAAGTTATCATTTCTATTACTGATACCACAGGCTAAATTATATTTTATGCCACCTTCAAGTAATAGTTAAGGCAATAGAATGCAGAGACATCACAATGAATCCCACTTAATACAAATAACTAGACAGCCCAACACTTCTACAAACTGTTTTGCCTTTTTCTGATTGCCAGTTAAATACAGTTGTTTTTTTGTTGTTGTTGTTTTTGTTGTTGTTTTAGACAGGGTCTCACTATGTAGTGAGACTGACTTGGAACTCACTATGTAGCCCAGTTTGGTCTTGAACTCACAGTGATTCTCTTGCCTCAGCCTCCCGAGTGCTGGGATTACAGGCATGAGCCACCACGCCGAGCTAAATACAGTTTTAATCCATAGTTTAACAATGAAGGGTCATACACTAAAGTCAACACATACACCTAGCATTTCAGTCTAAGCGTGTCCATGTACACAACTACAATCAATTACAAGGTATGGCCTAACAGATGCCAGAGTTAAGATACTTTTTACAGGCATTAAACTTCTTGCACACTGAAGTCTTCATACATACAGGGCAAAGTCAGAGCTTTTATATTTGCGTTTATTCTTCATGTAACTTTTCAAACACTACTATAATTGAATATTGAAACAAAAACAATAGCAAGTAGTGAGCAAATGATTATAGTCCTTCGTGTGTTCACTACTGCACACAAAATGCCAGCAGTGAGTATTATTCACTGCCCCATTAAGAGGTCTGACACTGAACACCACCCCTGGGATGATGTTCGTCATCCTCATAGGCTTCTCCATTATAGTGGCGCCGTCTTTCCTGATTTGGATCAAAGTCCACCAGTTCTACCTGATCCATTTCATCCGTCTCTTCTACTTCCTTCCTCTCGGGTAGGAGTTTTTCCAGCAAAGAGAGTTTATCAGGAGAAAGAAAGCCATTTTCAGGAAAGTTTACCTTAAATTCAATAATTAGACGACCCTTTTCATACGGTCTACGATAAATTGGCATGCCCTCATTTAGTACACACTTGATGTCTCCATGCTTGACAATCTGACCTGGATGAGAGGTGATGACTATGGTTCGGTTGTCAAGAGTGGATATTGGCTTCTGGAAGCCACACAGTGCTTCAACCAGCTGTATATCCATATCCAGATTTAAGCATGTGAACATGACTTAAACACACAAGTAAAGCTATTCATCAGATTTGCTGTACTATTACCATAAAATTACAGTTACTTTGGAGCATAAGTCAAATGGGTTAAAATAAGCCTGTAACACACCTAAGGAACACCCTATATTAAACATGCAAATTAGCTTTCCATGTAGTCTCTTCACTTAAATTTCAAAGTTACCCAGCTTTGAAGTCAGTACTCAAGGGCTTATCATGGTCCAAAGAGAAGGGAAAAAGAATATAACCAGGACTGGCCAACATAGTTATATATATATTTTAAAAAGATGGCACAGCAGAAGGGAATGCAATCCTAGAAATGCAAGCCCTTAAGAAGCAGCATTATGATAAACCCCTTCTTTAGAAAGTTATCATTTCTATTACTGATACAGCTGAATTTGCTGAACCATTCCAGGTCCTATCTGATGAATTCTTATTTGCATTCCAGTACCTCAGCAGTTGGGACAGCACTCCACAGCTCCTTTCTTACCACCTGGACCTTCACATTTGTCACAAATCACGTTCTTTTGCAGAGCCAGTTTCCTTGTTGCACCATTATAAATATTTTATGCCACCTTCAAGTAATAGTTAAGGCAATAGAATGCAGAGACATCACAATGAATCCCACTTAATACAAATAACTAGACAGCCCAACACTTCTACAAACTGTTTTGCCTTTTTCTGATTGCCAGTTAAATACAGTTGTTTTTTTGTTGTTGTTGTTTTTGTTGTTGTTTTAGACAGGGTCTCACTATGTAGTGAGACTGACTTGGAACTCACTATGTAGCCCAGTTTGGTCTTGAACTCACAGTGATTCTCTTGCCTCAGCCTCCCGAGTGCTGGGATTACAGGCATGAGCCACCACGCCGAGCTAAATACAGTTTTAATCCATAGTTTAACAATGAAGGGTCATACACTAAAGTCAACACATACACCTAGCATTTCAGTCTAAGCGTGTCCATGTACACAACTACAATCAATTACAAGGTATGGCCTAACAGATGCCAGAGTTAAGATACTTTTTACAGGCATTAAACTTCTTGCACACTGAAGTCTTCATACATACAGGGCAAAGTCAGAGCTTTTATATTTGCGTTTATTCTTCATGTAACTTTTCGAACACTACTATAATTGAATATTGAAACAAAAACAATAGCAAGTAGTGAGCAAATGATTATAGTCCTTCGTGTGTTCACTACTGCACACAAAATGCCAGCAGTGAGTATTATTCACTGCCCCATTAAGAGGTCTGACACTGAACACCACCCCTGGGATGATGTTCATCATCCTCATAGGCTTCTCCATTATAGTGGCGCCATCTTTCCTGATTTGGATCAAAGTCCACCAGTTCTACCTGATCCATTTCATCTGTCTCTTCTACTTCCTTCCTCTCGGGTAGGAGTTTTTCCAGCAAAGAGAGTTTATCAGGAAAAAGAAAGCCATTTTCAGGAAAGTTTACCTTAAATTCAATAATTAGACGACCCTTTTCATACGGTCTACGATAAATTGGCATGCCTTCATTTAGTACACACTTGATGTCTCCATGCTTGACAGTCTGACCTGGATGAGAGGTGATGACTATGGTTTGGTTGTCAAGAGTGGATATTGGCTTCTGGAAGCCACACAGTGCTTCAACCAGCTGTATATCCATACACATGAAAAGGTCTTCTCCTCATCGAGTGAAAACAGCATGGTCCTTTTGATCTAACACAATAATAATATCTCCTGGCTCCAGTCCTGGCTCTTGGTCTCCTTCACCATGGAATGTTATCTTCTGACCGTCTTTCATGCCTTTATCAATATGAACTTCTAGAATCTTCTTCTCTCTAACTATCTTCCTGCCGTTGCAGCTTTTACATCTATCTTTAGGACTGATGCGTTCTCCATGGCCCTGGCACTCCATGCACACAGGCTGAATTTGCTGAACCATTCCAGGTCCTATCTGATGAATTCTTATTTGCATTCCAGTACCTCAGCAGTTGGGACAGCACTCCACAGCTCCTTTCTTACCACCTGGACCTTCACATTTGTCACAAATCACGTTCTTTTGCAGAGCCAGTTTCCTTGTTGCACCATTATATAAATCTTCTAAGGTAACTGAGAGCTGATGTACCACATTTTTACCTCTCCTTTCTCTCTGCATCCTTCCTCCACCTCCAAAAAACATATCAAAGATATCCATGGGGGAGCCAAAACGGCCACCAGTTCCACCCTCCTTAATTGCCTGTTCTCCTCCTTTGTCATATAATTCCCTTTTCTTGGCATCAGAGAGAACTTCATAAGCTTGAGAAATCTGTTTAAACTTTTCTCCTTCATTTGGATTTTTATCAGGGTGGTACTTCAAAGCCAGTTTCCTATAAGCCTTCTTCAATTCTTCTTGGGTGGAGTTGGGTTTAACCCCTAAAACATTGTAGTAAGTGGTTTCTTTCACCATTTTCTACAGCCGGTGAGTGGGCTGGGCCGTAGTGGGGAAAGTGGGAAGGAGCGTAGCAGTGCGCAGCTCAGGCAGCCGCTGCTCCTCCACCTCTCAGTGCGTTCTGGAAAGTTCCGTCGATACTTTCATTTTTTAAAAATTGTAATTTTCATTGTATTACTTTTTTCTTTCAAATCTGTAAACATATTCACAATCTTTTTCTGCTAACTTAATCATTTCTGGGTCCATTTCTACTGACTGGTTTTATTCCAATGAAGGATTGTATTTCCATGTCTTCTTACACATCTGGCAACGTCTGTATTTTGAACATTTGCATGTTACCTTGTTGAATGTGTGTTTTGTTGTTTCACTTTAAAAAGTGTTGTGCTGGGCGAGGAATTTAACTCAGTGGTGCTGTGCCTGCCTTGCAAATGCAAGGTCCTGAGTTCTACCCCTGGTAACAACAACAACAAAAAAAGTATTGTGCTTTATGTTTTTAGGCAATTTACTTAATTGGAAATTTGTTGGGAATTTTTGAGGCTGTTTTTCTTTTTTTTTTTTTTTTTTGGTACTGGGGATAGAACTTGGATCCTTTTGTTTACAAGGCAGGGGGCCGAACCACTGAGCTAAATCCTCAGCCCTGTTGAGGCTTTTTTATTCTTATTTATTTATTTTTGGTACCAGGGATCAAATTTAGGACCTTGCACTTGCAAGGCAGGTGGCAGAACCAATGAGCTAAATCCAGGGCCCAAAGCTTATTTTTAAGTGTTGGCTGGGTCTAAAGTACTCTTTAAACCTGCTGTGGTTGTGCATGCCTATAATCCCAGAACTGGGGAGTCTGAGGCAGGAGGATCTCCATGAGTTCGAGGCCAGCCTGAACTACATAGTGAGTTCAAAGCTAGCCTGAACTACATAGCAAGGCCCTGTCTCAAAAAAAAACAAAACAAAACAACAAACAACAAAAACAAAACAAAACAAAAAACATGCCACCAAAGCCTATCTTCCTATTTAGTACTGGATTCTTATTTTTGCTGATTGAAAAGTGTATATCTCATTATACTTTGAAAATATGAAGAAGCATAAACAGAAAATCTGAAATTGTTATATCTGTACTATCCAGGGATAGCCTATATATATATAT